TACAGTTCCCAGAGGTCTGTGGGGAAATGCCATCTTTGTAAACTTGGACTTTGCTGGGAGATCTGCAAGGACAGCAGAGGCAGTTCCAGGCTGGGGTTTGCGACTCAGACACCCCACACCCATTTAGGCCCTCGGGCCAGGAAGACAATCGTATTTGCCACATCTATAAGATTTAGCAACCTCCCCTAAAATACTCATGTACCATTGAGGATTAAGTTACGTGGGGAATCAAACTAGTTTCTGGCCTGAGTATGTAGGGCCCACTAACTCAAACAACAGGGAGATCCTGAGCATCTCCAACGAGTGGGGAAGCTATTCCTGAAAGGGAACAACAGATTTCCACGTTCATTATTTAGGTTCTCCTGAGGCCCTCCCCACGTGTATCAGTGTGTGCTTCCTCCCTCCCCACTCACGTGAGTGTTGGGGTGTGCACGCACCCTCTACGCATTTACTCTTGTTTCTTTCCAACCTTCTTCTGGAGCAGTGACGTCAAATAAAAAACCAGCTACCACCCCAGACACGAAGAACTCTGCCACACCAATGGCCCGTAGAAAACAGAGTGCTTCACTTGTCCCACCAGCCCAAAGCAAGATATCAATCCCCAAAGAAGACACAGGAGCAATGGATTTCCTGAAGCCAGAAAGCCTGATGAATCTTTCTGATAATGATTTTAAAAGAACAAGAATTGAATATTTACAATGGATAAAATAGAAACTGGATGAAATACAGAATCGTGCTAGCAAAGGTAAGGAGGAGCTTTAAAAAACAATCCAAAACAACGCAGAGAAAACAAATGAAGCATTAGAGGCATTGGAAAAACAAGAAACTGTGATCCAGAATTTGAGATCTAAGGTTCCTGATGCTGTCAACATGATAGAGGGACATATGAATAGAGGAGAAGAGATGGAAAACAGAATCAGTGAAATAGAAGATAGAACTGTCACCACAGAACTGACTGAGAAAAAAGCAGAATCCAAAAAGAAGGAAACAAACGTAAGCTTGAGAATAATGTGGGATACCATTAAAAGAAATAACATCCACATCATAGGAATCCCAGAATGGGAAGAAGCAAGTAAAGGCACTGAAAAAGTGGTGGAAGAATTACTAGAGGAAAACTTTCTGGGCATAATGAAGAATGACAGAATATATATCCAAGAAGCTGAGCGAACACCATATAGA